CGGTCGCGCATGAACGTGAGGCCAGGTGGCATGGGATGACAGCGGCCGTTGTCGGCAGAGACCAAGACGAGGCTGTGTTGTGTTTCCGTACGGGCTTTGCAGCACTCGACGCCATTTGTCCTTGCCCTTCTCGTTTGGGGCTCCCTCGCGTGACCCATCTCCGTGACCCTTCCCCGCCTCGGGCCAGGCTCGGTGCAACTGGGCAAGCATTATGAATAGCATTTGATGCAGTCTATCCTGTTCTTTGCTTGTCACTTGCTTGGTGTTGGCAAGCGCGACCGACAGTAGCTGGTGCCGTTTGCCAACTCCGGATCGCCCCGAGCGCCGGGTCATTCCCTCGTACCACCGCCAGGCGTCGCCCTTTGACCACAAGCGTCCTGTTGAGCCCGGTGCCAGTTTGCCCGCCACCTCTTGCTGGCAATCATGGCTGCTCATCTCCTTGGGGCCCCTCCCCAACGCGCGCAGCGACCTGCACTTGCCATTCAACCTCGGCGACTGCTCCTTCTTCTCGCCATCTTCCTCCCGTATCTGTCGGAAGCCGCAGTGCCTCTTCAAGTTCGGGTGCTTGAAGATAATGACCGGAACAGCTCTGCCCTCATCCAAGCCGTCACTGCCTTTGCCAACCAAGCCTTCTTGCCCAGCACAACATGCGGCTCTCCGGGCGGCCTCCTCAGGCTGGCCGCACCGAATGACCCTTCCGTCGACATTGTCATTGACATGCGCTGGTCCAACGTCCAGCAACCCGTCAATCTCACTGGAGCTCTTTATCTCCCCATGCACCCCCTGATCGAGGGCGTGGCCACTGCCACCCCGCTAGCTCAACGAGCCACCATCATCCAGAATCTAGGTCTCCACAAAGACACAGCGACCAGTGCCCTCATGTCCTTTCTCAAAACCCTGGGCTGGACCACCGTCAAGCTCCTCACCGAGCGCTGCAGCTGGATCGACCTTACCTCGGAAGAGCAAGTCAGCTTACAGAGCGCTGCGGCTGAACACGAGGTGGGCCCACCCTCACCCTTTTTTCTGTCCTGGCCTGTTTCGCCTCCTTCGTGACCCCCAGCCAATGATCATGCTCAGGAGGAGATTGGCCTCAGTGATCTTGATCATCTGGAACAGCCAAGCTCTCATGTGCAACTTGCCATGCTTGTTGTGCTCATAGATTGAAGTGTTTGCTCGTGGCTTCAACCTGGGTACACAATGCCTCAGCTCTGGCTTCAACTCCCGCTTCATCTGGCTCGTTCTTGCCGATGAGGCTAACGAACTAGTCCAGCAAATTTTGAACCTCTACAACGCTGGCCATCTCGAACAAGGGTGCGCTCAGCCCGCTCCATGAAGCCTAACTTCCGCACTACCCACGACCCTGGTACCCCAAGTGACCGCGAGCTTGCCTGACCCTTTTTCCGTCTGATCCACCCTTTAGCCACGTCTTTGTGTTTCCATCCGACTTGAGCCCCATCTCAGTGCCCATTATCTGCGAGTCTCTCCTGGCGTTCGACCACCCAAATGCCAGCAAAGCTTCTGTGCGTTTTTTTTTTAAGAAAGCTTCCTCGTCTGAATCAGAACCGTTGCAGAGTCCTACCATCGCCTCACCACGTATCCATTGGGCGCCTGCAACCGGCACAACACCATCAGGCCTTTTTTGAGGCCAACGTGATCTCATTTGGCACCTTCCCAGGCAGTGACAGCGTCCAATCCGCTTTGGATACAATAGCAGACACGGCCGACATTGCCCGTACGTTTTCCACAGTGTTAATCACGCTCCTCGGCCCTCGTAGCCACATGTATATCTTGTGGCCATGCTATCTTTTGCCCACCACCGCTCGTCTCATCCGTATGCTGCACATCCTTGGCAGCTCTGACATGGCAGCCCTACACCTCGCGCAGCGCCCTAATTATCGACGCCATCCTCTACTCGGGCCGCATTGCTCAGTTGGTCACTTGTCACAGCAATTCCCACCTCACCGCCAGCATGGCGCCTTTTGTGGAAGCCCTTGTGCGCTACTCCAATCGACCCGGGCGTCGATGGGACTCTCCCATTGAAAGCGAGGCCGAGACTCCCCACTTTTTTGGCCAGCGTCCGCCCATCTGGACGGGTCCCAAACTCATCATGCTGATAAACGTATGTTGCCTACCTCGCTAGTTCTGGGAGCTTAGCCTCTTGGCGGTTACTTTGGTCGTTCTCATAGTCGCGTCGGTCATGTCCTCCCCCCCCCCCCTTGTTTTTTAGTCTGACGGCGAACAGATACTGTATTCACCAACTGGTGCCCGCACATGGCGACCATGGCTCATGTTGAACAACTCGGCTTCCCTCTATCCTGTCCCCCTCATCCCTGTGGACATTAACATTATTTTTGCCTTTGGCCGGTGCGTATCGTTGCCCAGGTTCGTCTTCTCACCGATGCAAATGCTCACCCATGACACTGCCCTCGCTGGCGGGCCTTTTGCTTGCGTCACAGGCAAAATCCAGCCGTCCAACCAGGCGTCGCGGCTGCTGAAGCCTTTGCAATCGCTGCGCTTGAGTTTTTCACCGAGCATCGCCCTCAACTACGCCTGCTGGGATCTCTGCGCGATACCTATTCCACCTCCTGCTCAGGCGTTGCTCGTGAAGTGGTAGATGGCAACGTCTTTCACGCTTTAGCAGGCGGAGTCATTTCCGAATGCACGGTCCAGCTTGCCAACATCACTGCTCCAGCCAACATGCTCACTGTCTCTCCTGGTGCTACCGTGGCCAGTCTCTCCAACACCGACATTTACGCTTCCTTCTTCCGTCTCAATCCATCATCCCCCTTTTATGGGACCTCAGTGGCACGCTGGCTCCAGGCAACCCAGTTTGATTGCGCTTCGATGATTGTCGACCCCAGCTTCTTGGCCAACGTCGAAGCTGGAGCAGCCTTTCAAGCCGAATCCCAACGGATCGGCATTGCCACCGAGGCCTTTTACTTTAACAACTCCGCTTCCACCGCAGGCATGCGCGCCATGCTTGAGGATGTTTGGCGTGCGGGTTCTGGCGTCATTGTTGTTATGATGTGAGTAGCTAGCTTGCTCTTCTGTCCCGTCCAATGGCCCACCTTCACGGCTCTTCAATCCGCTTGCATGACGTTGACTGGTGGTGTTTTGCCTTGTGTAGGTTGGCAGCGCAGGCGAACATCCTGTTGGAGGTGGCCCGCGTCATGGGTATGTTTGAGGAGAACTTTCTCTGGGTCTTTAGCAGCTTTGCCGCCATTCCCACCACCTACTCGCCCCAGATCCTGCAGGCAAGCTTGAATAAGGTGGTCATGATCAAGGTGACACCACCCGCCTTCACAACGCAGGTCTCCAAGGATTATCTAAATTACTTCTCCACCACGGGCCATCAAGCGTTTGTGGACGTGACGACGGCACGGCCATACACTGTGGGATTCGCAGACGCCGTCAATGTCATATCCTACGCTGCCGTTCAACGGCTGCACACATATCAGTTTGGCGCCAACGTGACGGCGACCCGGATCGCACTCGTCGAGGGTGTTAGTGACTTCCTCATCAACAAGACGATCGATGGCATTGCTTATTCTCAACTCAGCTTTGACGAGAAGCATAACGTGCACGTGTCTGCGCAGATCCAAGTACCGAACATTGATGCATCCGTGCGCATCCTGGGTCTTATCAATGACGAGACGGTGGACTTGAACATGACATTGTGGAAATCACTCGGTTCCTTCAGCTGTGTCGGACCCAGCTTCCCGACTACCACCGTGGACCCAGCCGCAGTGGGTGCCATTTTGAACGAGAGCAAAGGCATATCTTTAGGGGGCATTTTGGGCATTGCTTTAGGCATTGCGCTTTTGTTAGCTCTCCTGGTTGTGATGTTGCTTCTGGTGCGCCGCCGAAACAAGGGCGACTACGAGGCCCATGACTTCAAAGATGAGCTCTCTCATTTGGAGAGCCTAACACCGCTCAAGGGTCTTGTCGTGCCAGACGAACTTCCTCGCCATCGCATCGTTCTGGGCGAGGAGGTGGGCAGCGGTGCTTTTGGATCGGTTCACGAGGGTGTACTACGCATGCCCTCCACCAACCAGCGCGTTCGCGTGGCCGTGAAAACGCTCCGAAACGAGGGACTCGACAACACCGTCTTGGAGGAGTTTTATCATGAGGCTACCATGCTGGCGCAATTTGCCAACGAGCCACGCATCGTGAGTCTTCTCGGTGTGGTCACCCTTGGTCGCCCATTGCTGATGGTCATGGAGCTCTGCGAAAAGGGCGCGCTCGACGAGTGCCTGCGCAGCTACTTCTTCAAGGACCAAGAGCTCTCTTGGGTCGTCAAACTTCGCATGGCGGCCGAGGTTGCCGACGGCATGAGCACAGTTGCATTGGCTGGTGGCCTACATCGTGATTTGGCCGCGCGGTTCGTACTCGGTCTTACTCGCTGCCGCCTCTTCTTGCATCGTCTGTGCCTTGCCCCTTTCCCTTCTTCGTTTCTGTTCTCGCTCGTCTGTAGATGTGGTTGTTGCAGTCTTTCTCCGCGTTCGCTTCAACTCACTCCGACGCGTTGCCCGTCTCATAGCAATGTGCTTGTGACCGAGGACATGCATTGCAAAATTGCCGATTTCGGCATGTCCAAAGATCGTCGTTACTACATGACCAAAGGCAACCGTCTTGTGCCTGTGCGGTTGGTTCCTGAATCTGTTTTTGGGCTTCTTTTATGCATTGGTTTTATCAAGCATGCTGCTTCAGTTTATTCCATCCGTTTGACTCACATCTCGTCGACGTGCTCTTGGATGTGGCGTAGCTGGGCTGCTCCAGAGGTGTTGAAGGATCAAGTCTACTCCACAGCTTCTGATGTCTGGTCCTTTGGTGTTCTGATGTACGTAACGCCTTGGTTCCTGTGACTTCTGACTCTGATCGAACGAATCAAAGGTGCACCTGTCCTTCCCTGACCGTGTGCTGTGGATAGGTATGAGATGGCCATGAATGCGGCATCCTTGCCGTACGCTTCCATGAGCAATCCTGCCGTTCTGATTGCTGTGTCTGCCGGGTATCGCCTCGAGCGACCGCCTACGTGCCCGTTGGTGGTCTACGATATCATGCGTTCATGCTGGCTTGAGCGACACGAACGCCCTTCCTTCAGCGAGCTGTACGTGCGCTTGCGCGAGGTACAGCGTCTCGTAAACGCAGAGCAGATCTCGCTCGACCCTGTCCGATACATTGATGGCGAAAAGGACCAGAACAACCTTGGGCTGAGTTTCGAGGCATTAACCGAGCCGAGCCGAAACCTCAACTCATTGCCCAACTCAGGCAAGCCGAGTGAAGGCACCGAAGCGTCAGCCGATGCCACCCGTACCACGCGAGACACAATTCTGCGGGTCGAGCCGTACCAAAGTTTTGCTGCAAATCCGTTGACTCAAGCAAATCGGCTGTCAGAGTGGCAAGCGCGGCGAGGAACACCTGGCCACGATGACATGCTTTATGAGCGGTTTACTGTGTTGTAGGCTGAGCTCGCAAACCGAAAGCTGTCTGCTCGGGATATCTGGTTTGACCTGTGTGTTGATGAGTTGTAAGCTAGCAATATGAGCTGTTCGATACCATCTTATTTCCATTGATTGTGCCATGATAATTGACTATTGTTCTTGAGCTGGCCTGATTGGGGGTTCCTTTTTTTTTTCCATCACTTGAATGCAAGCTGACGCGTCAAGTTGACACGCAAACCATAGAAACGATCAACAACTTGTGTGATTGACGTGCCACAGAATGAAGCTAAATCGAAAAACCAAAACAGCATTATGGAGAATAAAATCCAGCTGAGAGATCCACATCTGAGAGCTTCATCAAGTTGGTGTGGATAGACCGATAGGAATACACACACATCAATCAAGTTCGCCACAAGTCCCTTGGAGACCGGTAAAAACAAGAGGGGTTGGGGTCGGGGGTTGGAGGATGGGGTTCTGTCAGAGCTAGGCTAAATAGGGAAGGCGATCATAACTAAAAACGCGCACTGCGCCTCTTTTCGTCTCCTGTTGAAAAAACAAAAAAACAAAAAAAACAAAGGGCCGTGAACCACGATCATGCAAAGGAAGAGTACATCAGAGCGTGTTAGGCAAACTGCTCACCATTGGTTGCATAACCGGTTCCAGACCGGTCATCATGCCACCTACGCAGAAGAGACCACACAACACAAGGGAGCTATGAGCGTAGTTGTATACTCTCAAGAGCAAATTCTGTTGATTCCGTTACTCCAACTCGACAACAAAGACCTCACCCGCTGGGACCACCCGGAGCCGAGAACAGGCCAAGGCCTTCGACCGAACTCTGGCTCGGATGTCGCTGGCTAAAGCGCAAGACGGGCTCGGATTCCGTGCTTCCATTGTACAAGCTATTGGCGCTCCCGTGGTTCCACCCTCGATCCGAGTTGAGATTGGAATACGAACTGGATGCGGAAAGAGGTTCCGAAGGTAGGCTAAGGGCAAGGCGGTTGAAAGCAGAAGTGAGCCTACACCTTTCTGGCCATTTAGAGCGGCGCTTGGCAGCACTGGTCTGACTTGGGTGGTGCTCCCGCATTGAGGTGCGTCAGGTGCATGCCGGGCATGTTCGAAGAGAAGCCACCTCCGATAGCAGCGTGAGCCACCGCCACAGCTTGCTCACGTGAATGTGCCAGCTCGGCCGCGGACCTGAGAGATGGCAGGAAACAGGACAGACAGGTGAGGTGACGCTTTAGTAAGGAACAACCTTCTGGTTGAGAATCATGGGCGGTGGCCAGGACGCTTGTACGCACATGCTGTAGGTGGGCACCCCCAAATAGCTTGTGTGGTCCTCAAGTCCATGAGAGCTGGCACTGCGCGGACCGTGTGTCGCTGCGCGGTTGCGATGGCGGGTTTCGTACGCCTGACGGCGATGGTGTTTCACTTGCATGCTCATGCCAAAGTCTGCAGGTAGGCTCCACCGATTGGTCCCCAAGTATTGGCCAGCCCCTGCTTGTTGAGGGATTTGGAAGCCCTGTTGAGCATGCAATTGCGCTGGCAATGCTTGTGCGGAGGATTGTACAGAGACTTGTGACTGGGTTTGTTGTTGAGACTGCTGCTGCTGCTGCTGTTGTTGTTGTGAGGGTTGCTGTGATTATATGGCGGTAGGAGCGGAGAGGCGCGCATGAATGTGAGCGATGGGCTCGAGGTTTGAGCTTTTCAGGAAGTTCACACGAAGCAAGGGATAGAGGCGATCGGATTCGCACCGAGGCCAAGAGGTGTTCGGTCATAGTGCGCCAGTGAGAAAAGGAGGCCCTTTGTTGAGGGGTGAAGAGGTCGTAACGCATGGCACGGTCTAAGAGCGGTACGAGCTGCTGAGCGAGTTGAGATACAGGAAGCCCCCCGTTGCCGTGCTGTTGATGCACCACGGTGGCCGCCATATTGAGCGTGTTCTCAAGCTAGATATTCCAAACAAAAGTGCGTAAGGACACGCGTTGTGATCATTTGCTCGTAAAACGAAGTTGTGACTCGCGGATTGCGACCAACACGAACCTCTTGCGAGAAGTCGGAATCACGAGGCAAAAAAGGTCTCTCCAACACATCGCTCAACGCGACAAACCCCCGAGAAAGCCACCCGGATTGCAAATCCTACATGGATCACATAGTCATGGCATGGGTTATAAGCGAGGTCGCGAGGTCTAGCAAGGAGAAAAAAACAAAACAAAAAAGAAAAACTAAACAAACAAACAAACAAGAAACAAACAAACAAAAAAATCAAGATGGTTTTTGGCGAGAATAAAATCGGGGGTTTCCCGTGCAAACGAGCTTTTTCCCTCACGAAATTTCTCATCCCCTGGTCGGCAAAAACGCCCAATAGGAAAGAACAACAGCGACAACAGCAGCACCATCACCACCACCACCAGCCGCAAAGAAAATATATTGCATTGCCAAAGTACACGTGGAAGTGTGCACCCATGGATCCTTACCTCACGACACTGTTTTAATCGCTCACCCAAGCCTGGCGCTTGCTCGCGAAGCGCTTGTATTGATTTGAGCATTTTAGTCCTGGCGCCTTTGGCAGCCACGCCTGGGAGAGAGAGAGAGAGCAAGAGACGAGCAATGTCAGCGGCACGCGACCGTGCAACTGGATTGTTCTGCATAGCTTGTCCTATTTTTGTCATTTGCGTGGGCAGCTTTCTCCACGGCAGGAAAGGTCCAACCTCGGTTCTCCAGCTCTTCGTCGGTCAGGGCAAATATGGCTTCTTGCGAAAGCGAAGCGAAGATGGATTGATACTTGTGCAGTCGTAGCTTCTTGAGCCAGGCCCTGATATCTATCAAAAAGAAGTGAGGGTCAGAGTTCGTCTCGAGTGTGGGAGAAAAGGGGGCGGGATGGCTTACGACTTTGGTTGCCCTCACTGGGAGGGGTCCGATCAGCCGGAGTATCGCCAGAAGAGACGGCATTTTCAAATGCAGCGCGGGTGGCATCGCCCAGTAGGTGGTCAGCGGACGAGGTGGCCATGTCGCTAACAAGGACCTCGCCGTGCGCTAGTGAGTTGCTCAGGGGAAGGGCTTGCTGGTCATCAGTGGAAGGGTGCGAGGCCTTGGTGTCGGGCAAGCCTGGGGGACGATCCGGTGCCAATCGACGTGGAGTCAAGGTGGGGCGCGCTTTGCGACGCTTATCGGCGCTGTTGTGAGCCAAGTCCTGGTCGAGAGCAGGGTCAGGACTCCCGTGAGGATGTGCGATGGTATCATCTGAGGTCCATGCAGCTAGTCTGCTTCCAGCGGGAAGGCCGGGGGCGCGACCCGTGTCCAAGGCAGCCAGCGAGGACGTGGAGGTCGTTGAGGAGGGTCGGTCTGGGGGTGGTGAGGTGGGGCTGGGTGAGATGGCGTGAGTCGAGCCTGCGTTCTGGGATGACTGCTGTTGAAGTTGGGCTTTGAGCTCGGCTTGCTGTTGCAGGTGGAGGAGCTTTTGTAGTAAGAGACGGAAATTGGCGCGGGCGGTGCTGTCGTAAGCTGGGTGTTGGATGCATGTGCGAACGAGACCGAGGCATGTCTCAAAGTGGCCATTGGAGCCGTGTACGTCATAGCCGACTACGGTGGCGTGGGACACGGCGGCAGCCACAAGACGAATATATTCCCGCGCAGCGGGGGCGTTGTTGCGTCGCAAACAATATAGCTGTTGGAGGAGCCTGGCGGTAGTTGCTTCGATACCAGAGTGGGAGACCTAGGAAGGCGAGCCGCGGGTAAGTGACAGGGAAATTGACGGGGCCAGCGAGGGCAGAACTAGGCGGGTGTCGAAGCGAGGGCGCACCGAAAGCTCTCGGAGTCGATCTACGTCGTTGGCCTCTCGAACGGGGTCCGAAAGTTCTTCAGCGCGCTTTTCAATTCGATCGTTGCACACCTGCGAGGGACGGACAAAGACGTTGAGGGCGAGGTTTCGACTCGGATGAGTCTTGTGGAAGCAGTTGAGTTCAAAGCGATGGATGAGGTAAACATACTGTCTGCACGAGTTGTAGCTGGGGCAGGGAGAGGTGTCGTAGCAATGCTAGCATCATGGGCAAGCGATCGGCGGCGGACCGGCTGGCAATACTGTTCTCGAGCGCTGCCGTCTGGCATCACGACGGACACGGTAGTTGGGTGAGCACACGGGTGGAAAAGGTGATGATGAGGAGCAATGACAACATGGCAGCGGGCAGAAAGGTTGGTTTGAGATGGAGCTCATGTGCAAGTCACCGCGATGACGTACATGCATGGGCCATTCTTCAGGCATGGCCAGCAAATTATCCTGGCCATCCATGACGGTGAACGTGAAGGCCCTGGGCCCCACAAACCTCGGCTCCAAGTGCAAAGAAAGGTGTTTAGGTGAAGCTCTTTCCCTCCTCATTGAATAAGACAGGTTCAGCAGCACGGCGTGCACGGGCGCTGTGCCTGAGCTGCGAGCCACGCACGCACCAACATTCACGTGCGGCTTCACAAAGCGGTGACAGACGTCGAGCGTAGCAGACACCGGGGAGATACAGATGCTTGCCAACGCAGTGCGCGGCGCCTGTCCTGAAATGCCTGGATCAATCGAAAGAAAGAGACAGCCGACTCCTGTGAGGGATCACGCCGACCTGGGCCAGCCCCAGCAGCAGCAGCAGCAACAGCCGCAGCAGCAGCAGCCCTGAGGTGGAGCGCCTGACTTCGGAGGTGCACACAGTGGCACACGAAAAGGAGGCGTACCACGGCTCAAACGCGGCAAGCACCGTGTCTAAAACCCTCACAATATCAATCAGAGTCTTGAAAAGGCACCGTCCTCCCAATGCTGGCCAGAATCCAACACCAACAGGCCCTGAGAAGCCTCCCTCCCCCTCCCGCCACGGTGTGCTGCCAAAGCGATATCAGCTCAATCAATGGCGCTCTGTCTGTCTGCGTGCGTGTGTGTGTGTGTTGATCAGTTTAAGAAATCATTCATTTGTGTGTGAGAGTGAGAGAGAGAGAGAGAGAGAGAGTTTAAGAGAGAGAGAGAGAGAGAGAGAGAGAGAGAGAGAGAGAGAGAGAGAGAGAGTTTAAGAGAGAGAGAGAGAGTTTAAGAGAGAGAGAGAGAGAGAGAGAGTTTAAGAGAGAGAGAGAGAGAGAGAGAGAAAGAGAGAGAGAGAGAGAGAGAGAAAGAGAGAAAGAGAGAAGTGAATTGGTTTGGTCGGTTTGAGAAAGAGAGAGAGCTTTCGGTATCTTGTTCAACCTATCTTAGCGTAGAGTTGATTCTTTTATTCTTCTTCTGGTCTTTGATAATGATGGTGAGCACTCTGCGCCGAGGTCCGCAGGGGCGGGGGAACTGGTCGGGTCTACAGTGCTTGGGATGCAAGCTATTAGGATGCCGTGGCATTATCTTTGGCAGCCTGAGGGCTGCCTTCTGACTCGGCGCACCAGTCAAGGCGCTGCCGGTTCGTGCTGCCGGTTTGGAGGACCACCCATTACCATTTGTCAGAGTGACAAACCAAGAAATGTCAGAAGAAATGACCAGGAACATCCCGTTTGAAACACATGTTCACCCAATAACCACCGATAAACAAGTGTTATGGCCGGTTCGAATTGAATTTTTTCGAAAATTCTTTTGTTGTATTTGAACTTGATGTTGAGTGTGGGGTACTTATCTCCTCAGTGAAATAGCTTATTGATTATAAAGGTCAGGTAATTGTTGATCTCATAATAAAGTCAGAGTTTATTTATGAAGAAAAAATAAAAGATAATGAAGACAAAGATGAAGGTGATGCGGGACATTTTCTAGTTTCTGCCCTCGCAGCTGTGTTACCAACCTCAAGCCGATCTTCTCTTTTTTTTTTGACACGTCTCTCTCTCTCTCTCTCGGCTCGCGCGGGCAGTTTTCCGTGTCACTGGGTCGCCGTGGTTGGCTGCCCCAGCAAGGTTCTTTCCTACTGTCTTTCCCAGCCCTGTGCTTGGGACTTGAGGTAAGCAGGGTTGGGCTGTTGCGCGTTCTGTGGTGTTTGAAGGGGTCGGTTTGGGCGAGATAAAGCTTGGCACTGCACGGGGCAGTCAAAACTGACCAACCTGGACGGCAGCCGGGCAGCCGGGCAGGGCCATACTCTTGTGCGCCTCCCTCCTTGATGCGGACTGACATCTGGATGGTGTTTGTGGTGGTAGACGCCAACAGGCAACGATCCGGCACAGGATTGGCGCCATTAGGTCGTACCGATTGCTCTTTGATTCATGACCGCCGCGATGGCCATGTTCTTTGACTTTCCCGTTAATGCGCAAGAGGCGTACACCCCCATCACCTCGCGCTGGCACCCCAAGACTCCGCTTCTGGCCGTGGCTGCCAAGGAGGTTCGTTTCCTGGCTGGGTCTCATTTGCTCTCAACTCATCATCTCTTGATGTCTAATCGGACACCGTGGCCTGCCACCATCCACAGAAGCGTCAGGGCATGGTGACGGGCAACGTCTCGCTGTACACAGACGACGGCGAAAACTTGCCCTCGGCTACCCTGCAACGTTCTGCACATCCTACCGACGTAGCTTGGCATCCCATCGAGCAGGTGCTTGCAACGAGGTATTCAACTCCTGCCTTGAACCCCAAAGTTGTTTTGCAAGGCCCCCGTCATCTTCGGTTATTTGGCTTCTTCTCTATTCGGCTGTGTCCTTGTTATTCTGAAAACGCAACGCCCAGCTGGGACTCTATAAAAAAGTTGTCATCTCCCCCGTTGGTCTTCCCTTGGCTTCTCATTCGGCGTTCTTGCATGAGCAGTTGGGCTTCGGGTGAGATTGTGCTGTGGAATCACGCCACAGAACAGGCCAACGAATGCAAGCGCCTCCACGAGGCAGCCCTGGTCTTTGTTCGTTGGTCTGCGGATGGTTCTCGTCTCATCAGCGGTGATGAGGTTTGTATCAGCCCAACTCACCATCCTCTCTACGTCGAACCCGGCAAGAGGCACTGCCTCTGATCTATCTGACCGAGGTTGCCACTCCACACCCTAGGATGGTCTTGTTTGTGTGTGGATGGTGAGCCAGAGCGGCAAACCCACCCTGGCCACAGAGATGCGCCTTAGCGCAGGCTGCCTGCACTGTACGTTTGAGATACCTTTGCACTTTTATTATTATTCATTTATTGTTCTTAATTTTTATTTTATTTTTTTTTATTTTTTTTGTTACACCTGCCGAGCAGCGCCACACAGCTTGACAGTTATCTCACTTTGCCGTCCCTTTTCCACGCCACCTTGGTGCTAGGTTGCCCCGTCGAAGGTGCTCGGGGCTCCAACAGCGTCTTTTTTGTCAGCACCACTGACAACGAGGTGCTGCGCTGTGAAGCGAGTGGTGATCTCAGTTCGGCCTTCAAGGTCGAGGGCAACATTCACGATCTCACCTACGATCCCCGCTCAAGTATGCTGGCGTCCGCCCCCTCTCTGCCCATTCTTGTCGTCGCTTCCGTCGCTGCCTGATTGCCGCCTTCGCCTTCTTCTGACATATCAATCGCGCACTTTTCACGCTGCCGCCCAGACTTGCTGATGGCCATCACAACGGAAATGACCGTGATCCAGCACCGTGTTATTCAGACTGGTCTGACGGAAAAGTATCTCTTCAAGCTGGCCGGCAAGCTACCAGGCCAGACCGCATGGGCGGCTGCCGGCGTCCTGGCCTTTGCCACCGGCGAAAATCAAATTCGCTTGTGGAATGCCGAGGCTGGGGATCTCTACTCTCTATCCATTGCCCAGGAGTCGGGTGACTTTACGCCCTCGGATATCCTCGCCGCCGTGTCCTATGACCCGCGCAGCCAGTTGATGGCGGCTGGCTCACGCAACGGCTATGTCTTCATGTGGAAGTACAATGCAGCCAATCTGCAGGATGATGACGCCACCACCATGTGGTCTTTTCAGCCGCCGATTGAGCTCTCCGGCAGCCTGGTGCGCCTGACGTGGGGCCCGAATTCCCTCCTCGGGGCTCAAAATAACGTAGACAGCGTGTCCATCCTTCGTGAGCACATTATGCGCAAGGCGTTTTGCGCCACCGCCTCTGCCATTCAGGTCTCCGCGGCTCGCCTGGTCGTGGATGTTTTTGACAAGCACACGCACAGCCTTGACGGTGACTTTTCAATCAAGGGCGTGGCTGTGAGCCAGGATGCTGTAGCCACCTTTGGGGCCCGGGAGGTTGCCGTCCACGAGCTGGTCAAAGATGGCAATGTGCTCCGTTCTGCCAACGCCTTCCCCTGCGCTGCCACCGCGGTGGCCCTGCACGGCAGCACTGTTTTCACCGCCATCGAATCTCGCGTTGAGGCTCGTAGCTACAACGGCAGCTCCAAGCAGGTCATGACCTTTGGTACCAATGAGGGTACAGTCACTCATCTTGCTGTCAATGGGTACGTTGCCTGCCACCTTGAGCATGTCTACGTTTGTGCGCCGGGGTCGTCAAGTCTCGAGCCGAGGACCCACTGAGCGCTCACAATTTTGTTCGTCCTCCTTTCGCTTGATCATTGTCCAGTGACTCCTTGGTGGCCGTGACCAACAAGTGCGTAGTGCGTACCTGGGACCTCGCGCGTCGCGAGGCCGTACCACAGGCAGGCCCCCATGATGCCACCGATGAGCTCGATCAAGTGTCAGCTGTGGCAATCAACGCAGATGGCTCCTTTGTCGCCTTTTTCGGTATGGCCGAGCATGACGATCAGCCCATGGTCTGGCTGTGGGCAACCGCTCAGGAAAAGGTTTTCCACCAGTCTGCGGGCGTGGGCTTCACACCACAAAGCATTGCCTGGGACACGTCCGATCCTCGTCTCCTCGTGGTTGAATCGCGCAACGTCAGCTCGGACGGCATTATCAAACGCCGAGTGACTTCCTTCTTCGCTACCGCGGCCAAGGGACTGGTTGAGCACCACAGCTTTGATCTCAAGCCGGATGACGGCGCCCTATTGGGTGTCACGGTCCCCAACATGTACTTCACGTTGCGCCACAAGAGCGAGGACAACGCCATGTACGAGTCTCGTCCTCTACGCGATTTTGCAGGCATTCCCGAGGCCGATCGTGATACCCGCGAGGCCATGATGGAGTTCAGCTACCAGCTGACGCTTGGCAACCTGGACGAGGCCTTCCGGGCTGTGCGTGTCATTGAGAACGATGCAGTCTGGGCCAACATGGCGCGCATGTGTGTCAACACCAAGCGCATGGACGTGGCGATTGTCTGCCTTGGGCGCATGGGAAATGCCGTGGGCGCACGGGCTCTTCGCGAAGCGCAGAATGAGACCGATGAGGCCAAGGCTGCCATTCTTGCTATTCACTTGGGCATGGTCGAAGAAGCCGAGGAAATTCTGAAGGTGCGCTTGGCTCATGTCGCAGGACAACAGGGCACGAGCGTTGCAGCTCACAGCATATCCATTTTTTTTTTGTAGAATGCCGGCCGCTTTGATTTGCTGGTGCAGTTGTATCGGGACAGCAACCGTTGGCAGGATGCCCAGCGCGTGGGCATGGAGCATGACCGTCTGCACATCAAGACGACATTTTACGAGCAAGCCCGACATTTTGAAGCTTTGGGCGAGGTCGGTCCCTGGCAGCCCCGAAGTCGGCCATGTCCGCCCTGGCGTCAAAATGGGAATGTTTGCGAGTGCTTGCTCATCTCATGTTTCGCCCTGTTGCACTACCTTTTCACTGAGCAGATTGGTGATGCTATCAAGGCGTATGAAAATTCGCACGCTGATAAGCGTGAGGTGCCGCGTCTTTTGCTTGGGCACCCTACCGAGCTCCAGGTTTGTTTTGGCGTTCTGGTCCGCCTCTGCCTGCACGTGTGTGTGTGTGTGTGTGTGTGTGTGTGTGTGTGTGTGTGTGGTGCTCACGATGGCAAACGATGCGTTGGACATTCCACGCCTGGCAACGGGCTCTTGTGATAGAACTACGTGCGTGCCACGCAGTCCAAGGACATTTTGCGCTGGTATGGTCAGTACAAGGAGTCTCAGTCGGATCTGGACGAAGCCCTCAAGCTGTATGCGGGCTGCGACGACATCCTGTCCATGGTCCGCGTGTACTGTTTTGAGGATAAGGTGTCGGAGGCCTGTGAGCTGGCGCGACGAACGCAAGACAAGGCCGCTGCCTATCACCTCGCTCGTCATTTTGAAGCCAAGGTATCATTCGAATAGCCTCTGGTCGGGCATGACCGGCACGGTGACATGGGTGCGAGGGCACACGCTACCTAAAACTGATATTTTGCTTGGCTGATCCCAAATGCTACAGGACCAAGTGGAAGAGGCCATCGAATGGTACTCCAACTCGGAGTGCTACACCAACGCCATCAAGCTGGCCAAGGAACATGGCCTCAAGGACCAGATGCTCAATCTGGCTCTCAACTCCACCAAGGTGCGACATGTGCTCGGGGGTTGCGCCCACTGCTTGTGTATCGCCAGCCGTTGACTCGGCGGTTCTCCATCTCATGTTCTTGTGCTTGCGGTCGTGTATCTTACTCTCTTGACGGGGAATCAGGTGGACATGATCTCGGCCGGCGAGTTTTACGAAAGTCAGGGCATGTATGACAAGGCCGTTATGCTGTACCACAAGGGTGGCCGTGTGGCCAAGGCACTTGAGATGTGCTTTGACCATCAATCTTTCCAAGCTCTCGGCGCTATTGCCGCAGATCTCGACGAAACAACCGACCCTCAGCTCGTGCAGCGTGCTGCCACCTTTTTCATCGACCATCGTCAATATGACAAGGCCGTTAACTTGCTCATCGTTGGCAAGCGCTTTGAGGAGGCGCTCAAGCTCATCGGCGAGCATCACGTGCATCTCACGGTCAGTGTCCAGTTGCCTTGGGTAGACTTTCGGGTTCAGTCATATCGATTTGCCGAGTAACCCATGGTGCTTCCTTTTCTGTGTGGCACGAGGCGTGGTGCTGGATTGATGAGTCTGATGCTTTCTCTCGATTAAACATGTCGCATGACTTGGCTCGTAGGAGGAGAATGCTGAGCGCATGACCTATGCCAAGGGTGCCGTGGACAAGACGGTGCGCAACCAGGTGTTGGAGCGTATTGCAGACATTGCCTATGCACAAGGTTCCTACCAGCTGGCGACCAAGAAGTATTCACAGGCCGGCAAGTTTGTCAAGTCAATGCGTGCGCTGCTCAAGAGCGGTGACACGAGCAAGATTATGTTCTTTGCGAACAAATGCCGGCAAAAGGAGGTATACATCATGGCTGCCAACTACCTTCAGAGTCTCAACTGGCGACAGGACCCCGAGATCATGAAGAACATCATCGGCTTTTACACGCGTGGTCGTGCCTTGGATTCGCTGGCGTCTTTCTACGAGTCGTGTGCACAGGTGGAGATTGACGACTACCAAAACTACGATAAGGTGCGGTCCTGTGGAGACAGCAGCTTCTGCGTTCTGTTGTGCGAAAGCAACATTGCAGTTTTTTGCTGCTACCTTTTCTGCATCACGCGCGCTCCTTGGGGGTGCTTGAGACGTGTTGTGGAGCGCAAGTGTCTTACGCCACACCCGCCTACTCCTTTACTCCTGATTAGGCTCTGGAAGCGTTGCGAGAAGCGCTCAACTGCTTGAGCCGTGCCAAGATGAACGACTTTGATGAGCAAGAGCGTCGCGTCTCGTCGTTGCAGACGCGTATCATGCACGTGGAGAAGTAAGTTTTATTATTATTATAATTATTATTTTTTGAGTGCATCAACCGTGAGCCACCGGCGCAGAGCGATCGATTTGGCGGCCACTCCCTTCTCATGGTCATGGTTATGTGCAGGTTTGTCACAGTTCGACAAATGGGCGAGCGGGATTCAGCCGCCATGCTTGATGAGGCAGCTGCGTTGCTGCATGCACCTGGCATTGAGGATGCCATTCGAATTGGCGATGTGTACGGCATTATGATTGAGTAAGCCATGCCTTTGCGAATTGGTTGGCGTGTTCTGGGAGGCATACAGTCCCTACTCCACCACCACGGTGGGCTGGGCCATGCTCCTCTTGCAACTCATAAGGACATGATGGTCGTGTGACAATAGGGCCTTGGCGGCACGGGAGGATTACTCCAAGGCATACAAGCTGATGCAGGAGCTGCGAGGTCGTTTGCCCCGTGTCAATCTGACCTACTACGTAAACCTCAGTGTGATTGAGACAGTCCATCGTGCGCTGGACATTCCTCTTGGTCAAGGCACGGGCCCTTCGGGTGCTGATGAAGACGAGGTGGGCGAGGACATTGAAGGTGCTGATGTGTAAAAGAGTGTGCTACACTCAGACGCGCGCCCAAGGTGGTGACTTTCCCTGTTATGACAAGCTGTATAGTCAACACAATTGAGTCATTCTATTATGTGCATGGGAAATTGTGAGATGCACGCACAAGCTTTTTTTATTCAACAAATAGACACGAGCGAGAGGCGTTTGGGTTTGGCTCGTGTCCCGGCTTCCGCTTAGGCCATGGCCTCGAACAAGGCTAGCTTTTCCTTGTACACCTTGCTGAGTTGCTGGGCCAGGTGTGCAAACGGGTCCTCAATGCCTTCGCTGTCCTTCTGTAACCCCGAAAGCAAGACCACGCCAGCAACATTGACGCATATCAGGTTGCATGTGACAAGTCGATATGACATGATGGATATGACATGATGGAGGCGAGAGAGCAGCTAGAAAGGATGGTGGAGAGTTGACGTACGGCAGAGACGGTAAAATGTTGCAGATCATGCTTTTCGGCAAAGGCAACGGCAGTTTCCTCATCCACCTCGCGGCGAGCGGTAAGGTCGGCCTTGGTGCCCACCAATACACCAAGGAAGGTCGGGTTCAGCTTGGCAAAGGTGGTGAGCCAGGCTTCCGCTGCTTCCAATGAGTCTTTTTGAGTAACATCATAAACCAGAACGAGGGCGCCCATGTTGTCGAGGCGCGCTTCAACGGCGTCTCGAAACGCGGCATTGCCAGCAAAGTCGTAGAGTAGGAATTCCTGCGAAGTAAAGAGAGAGGGAGGCAGAGAGCTTGACATATGAGTAGGGCCATGACACTGATAGAGTTGAGGCGCAAACGCCTTGGCAGGATATACGGACCACACTGTCGTTTGAATCTGGGATGGCAATCGCCTTTGTCAAAATTTCTACCTCAGTCGTCTGTCCATGCATCATTCAGGTCAAAGACCCCAGAGGCGGAAGGCAGGGAAGCAGAGGTCAGGGGTTGAAAGGGCGCAAGCAGGCACTGCCTTCATTCCTTGACAGATGCAGCTGTGCGTGGACTCACCATGGAGTAGGCTTTGGGGAAGTGCGAGCCATCACTGTGAAAGCTTTGAACCAAGGCTGATTTTCCAGCAGTGGCTTCACCTGTCAACCATAGCAGACCATATCAGACCACATCAAAAGGGCGAGTCAGCAGTGATGGGGGTGATCATAGAGATCTGCGCGCCAGGACTACGCACCGAGCACCGCCACCTTGGAGCGCAGGACCACCATGATGAGGGTTGGCGGCTATGAAACCGGCCGAAACTGAAAAGATAAGTAGGGCCGTGTCCTTGACAAGTGTCTAGGAAGATGCTGTGCCCTGGGACAGAAAAATCCGAGGGCAATGCGCCTGCGTCTGCGTCTGCGTCTGCGCGTTCCACTGCCGTTTCCCTCAAAAAATAAAAAAAAATTCAAAATCGAACCTGACATTTGAACACGAAAGTAGTGAGAACCATCACCAAGGCAGCACTCTTCCAAACAGCTGTTGTATATCACTGTTCTATCTGGAGCCCTCAGAGCGAAAGAAAGAAAGAGAGAGAGAGAGAGAGAGAGAGAAGGAGAGAGAGAAATTTTGAGAGAGAGAGGCAGAAAAGTGAATTGAATGAAGAGATAGAGATGGAGTGCTAGAGGGTTTCAGAGAGAGGGCTTCAGAAAGAGGCTCTCACAGAGATAGAGCGAGATCGAGTGTGTGGAAGCTTCAGGTGCTTTCCTGGCTGTTCGCTACGCACACACACGAAGAACATGATCGCACTCAAGCATGAGCCGTCACTTGGCTAGATCGTCTCGTGGCCTCCAGGGTTGGACCGGCCGTCTTTAGTCTCGTGGGAGGAAGGCTAGTTCAGTCTTGCAATTGCTTCAAGACCCACCCAGCCGTTCGTTCATGTGTGCTTGCCCTCGTGATCCCTTGTTTTCTGGTGGTTTTGTGTGGGGGTTGCTCATGCTGACCCAGGTTTGGGTGGTCAATCGTGATGGTTCAGGTGTAGTGGTCGGGAAGATTGCGTCCCGTTTACTTGAACGATCTCTACTTGGCTGGACAACTCCTCTGCCGCTGCCACACACGCGCGCTGGTGGGTGCCGTGGCCTTCCATCCGACCCGACTCTTGCCGCGGCTCCACACGCTTGGCGTGGTTGGGCTGCTCACAGCCCTCATTCCCAGCTTCCATCACCATCACGAAACCATCCTATGCCCATGTTCTCACCAACGCCCACTCGATAGTCGACCGATTGGCCTCTTGCTCCCGGAGCCCAAGTTTTGCCTTTGAGCTCTTGTCTGACCACTTCTCGCGCTTGCATTTTAACGGCTCCCTCCCTCTGCCTCATCCCACCGGTCTTGACACGAAGCCAGCGTTGCCATTTTGCTTCGCCAGCCTGCTCCACGCCTGATTGACGGTGCGCTGCCCACTGTGCCCGAAAGACGCGTCTGGTTCTTCTGCCCGCTAGTTACAGAACAACAAACAACGAAAAGCTAGACACTTTCCGAAGGGCTGAGCTTTTTACGCCACACTCATCTTTTGCGTATCCTGGCCACTTCATTACGATATAGCAAGCCCACCTTCGCCATGGCCATTGGCGATGTACTTCCCGGGGATACCCACTTCTTGGGGCTCACGGCGCTAGTCACAGTCGGTTATCAGCTCGTTTTTTTTGCCGTGGCCTACACCTTCAAGTTTGATAAGGTGCGGCTGCAGATGCCGTGCACGAGTCACCATGGGCTAGCATCAATTTACTTACCTTGCTTCGTTGCGTCCGGCGTGCGACCTTGAATCCCCCGTTGGGCAGGTGACAGATTTTGCCGGTGGTACCAACTTTGCCCTCATAGCCTTTCTCACCTTTGGACTTGGTGACACCTTTTATGCCCGTCAAGTACGTGCACAGCTTCCGATCCCACCCGAAGAAGAAATCCAAAGACGGGTGTCAAGCCTCTGATTCTATTCGGAATCATTCATCTCGCTACCCCGACCACCTTTCATCCATCTAGGCCGTGTTGACGGGCATGGTTGCCCTCTCAAAGCTCTACCTCGCCCTCTTCCTCCTCATTCGTGTTTTGAGTCGTGGCAAGGATGCTCGGTTTGATGGCACCCGAGACAGCTTTTTCAAATTCCTCTCTTTTTTCATCTTCCAAATGGTATGTTGCGCACCATAGTTTGTGCCAATCCCTTTGCTTCAATCCCCCCTCCCCCCCTCCCCTTCCCCTTATGGTCTCGTGCTCACTACATTCCTTTGACATTGGCCGGCCTCGGCTGTAGATTTGGGTCTGGGTCGTGTCTCTTCCCGGTGAGTTTGCTTCAGCCCAAGATGTGGTTCAGCGTGCTTCTGAGGGTGTCACCGCATAGCTTCTCGACTCACCCCGTACATGTTCTTTAGTTACGTTTGTCAATGGCGACGAGGACGATCCAGCCCTCAACGAAGGCGATTACATTGGCTGGGCTCTTTTCTTGATTGGTTTTATGCTCCAGGTGCGCCTCGAGTGCCACGCGCACCCACACTGCTGCAAGGGTGGTTATGGGAAGGGTCGAGGTGGTACAGGTGTGGCACAAGACTGACTCCTGCTTGACCTACAGATGTCGGCGGACATTACCAAGTTTTATTTCAAGCAGGAAGCCGATTCTGCCGACTTTTGCGATGAGGGCCCTTGGTGCGTGGTGACTGTTCCTGACCGTGCACACCCATGTGTCTGTGCGTTGGCGGCGAGCCCTGGCATTGAGGCTAGTTACACAAGAAGAGTTGGGTTGCACCTTTCCGCCTTACTCATGGAATTTGCGGCGTCAACAGGGCGGCCTCTCGGCACCCCAACTACGCTGGAGAAATTTTGATGTGGTGGGGCATTTTCATTTCCGCCACGAGTGTGTTTGAAATTCCCGGCAACGATCACTGGGGGTAAGATAGAGTTTGCCCGTAGCATCGTCAAACAGCTGCAAGCTGAACGTGGCGCTGAAGCCAACTCGTCACACCTCAGTCATTCGACCGATCGCAATCACTCACATGTGCATTGTGGTGGCATCATCGCTCTGGCTGTCACTCCTCTGGCCGCCGCAGATGGGTCACTATCTTGAGCCCCCTCTTGACCATGATTCTTCTGCTCTTCCTCAGCGGCATCCCAACGGCGGAAGGCCAGTCTCAGAAGCGCTACATGAAGGTAAACTTGGGAGCACTGTCATCGCGCCATCACCCTGGATCACGCTTTTTCCTGGGTCTCATGTCGTGCTGCTGTTTTGGGACGGAATAGACTGAAGAGCAGAAAAACAGGTATCTTCGGTATCGCGAGCGCACGCCACCCTTGATCCCTTTCATTCCTTATCTATACAAGGTACGAACGAACATGTGCCCTTTGCACCTCGAAACAATCTATTTTGCACGTTCTCACGCTTTCCACACATTTGTGCAACCATTTCAACGGTGCAGCGTATGCCACTTTGGACCAAGCGCTTGTTCTGCTTTGAGCTGCCCATGTATGAATACGATCCCGAGCAAGAGGCGATGCAGGCTGCTAATCGGGACATGCGCAGCACGGTCGAGAACACTCAAACGTCGCAACCACGCGCTGCAGCTGCACCGACCGAGCACACAGTCCATCGAGTGTAATCGAGTGAATTACTTGCGACCTTTGTTGTTAGCCAGTTTGTTATGGTGTCTGTATGTCTGCCCGCCCAAGCACATTTTGTTGTGTTTGCCATGTTTTGGTGTGTGCCCTGGAGCAGCAGAGCTGTCTTCTTGGGGAGTGTGGAAGTGCTTGAGCCTCTCAAGCCTCAAACTTCACGTATATGTGCTATATGTGCAGTGAATCAATTTGTTCGTGTCAACAAATCTGCAAGTTATTCTTTCTGGCTTGGCAGGCTCCACCGTGGGTACGGGGTACGGGCCACCGGATCGATTAAGCTACCATTCCATGCGGGCTTTAAATAGAACGTCTCGAAAAACGCGGGCAGCTAAGTCATGCTGTCGTGTTCAACGTTTTCTAGGAGGAGGGAGCCTCGAGGCAAGCGAAAAGTTGATGCGGCTGCGAGTTCTTGCGAGCTTGGAAGTTCCAGCGGTGGCGTTGCGCGAGGGCTGGAGGCAGACGACGAGTAGTAGGCCGAGTATGCGGCCTGAAGTTCGTTGGCAGCCTCAATGGCAGCCAAACGAATGGCATCAATATGGCGATTGGCGTGCCGAGAGGTGTGCCGGCGGATGGTGCTCGGTGCGTGCATCGAACCGGGTGCAAGCGGGGGCGCAGGGGCGTTGAGACCTTGATCAATGCACATGTCAGCAGCCAATGTAAATAGAGCCATGGGATCAGCGTCGCCATTTACGCTGCCAGTTTGCGAGGGAGCGTAAAGCTCATCATCATCCAAGTTCATGTCCAGGCCATTTTCCAAATTGGGAGACTGGACCCCTGTCGTGCGCGCACGCTCAATCAAGCTGGTGTAACTGGTCATGTGGGAGGCACGCCCCAGACCTGGCCGCACATGGGGCAGGGTGCTGGGCATATCCGAGTCATCCCATTGCAATGCACTCGCTGCACTGGCCCGATTACTGCGTCGCACCGAGGCTTGTAAGTTTTGCATGAGCTTGCCCACGTCGGACATTTTACGTTTCTTCATCGAGGCCAAACGTGGGGACTCGGGAGGAGCCGCACAGGGGCAGAGCCAAGTGTAGACGTCACGGTTCTGCCAACAAGTCATGATGGTAAAGGCCAACGCAGCTAGGCAGATCAGGGTTGCGCCGGCCAACTCGAGGTACCAGCCCACCGCTGTGCTCTCGCTCGTTGAGGCCTGGAGGGCAATCCAGCCCAGCGTTTGAGCCAGTACGAATAGTATGGCCGATATCGTCGGGAGCTCAACCGTGTTGAGTTGACGCTCCCACTGAGCGTGCACGTTGGTGTCGGTAACGGCGGTGTGTCGCTGCATGCGGCGGTGGAGGACTACAATGGCAGCAAGGGTGGTCGCGCCGAGGCCAAGCAGCGCACCAAGGGCGATCCAGCGTTGCAAGCCTTCAAAGCCAGCCATTTCGGTGGGTGAAAGAATGCCAATGCTACCGCCCAGGTCCATGGCCCACAGGATCTCATGCACCGCCACCAGTGCAACTGGGATGCCCCAGGCTATCACGAGGCGCCAGGGACGCGGCAGGGCCTCTACGTCTCGCAAACCCTGCCCGGCCAGGATACTGATGAGCAAGAGCTGGGAGAGAACGGCATATGCTAGACCCTGTCCCGCCAAAACGGCAACTGTGGCTATGGGCAGGTGGAGGGCACCGGGCTGAATCAGCAGCATGGCGGCAATTGCTACGGCAGCGACGAGGGCCATGCCCACAACAAGATGCCGCTGGCGTCGATCGGTGCGCAACATCTCCTTGCGCCACATGAGAATAGAATAGAGTGCTGCGACAACCAGGCAGAGACCAGCGGCGGTGACAAGCAGGATGGCGGTAGGTGGGCTCAGCTGGTGGTGGAGGGCTTGGGAGCTGGCTTGGGGCACATCACTGATCGACAGAGTCGACGTCGGCGGAATGGCGGTTGGTGGGCTCGCCACCTGAGTCAGGGGCAGCAGCGCAATGACACCTGGTTCCTTGCACCGGCATTCCGCCAGGTCGCCAGCATAGTTGGTGGTACAGTTGGCTGGATCCCAAGCTCCACCGTATCCAGCGACCAGAGTCCAGCGCACGCAAAGCAGCGTCGTGGCCAGGTTGGCCGTGGAGGCGGTTGAAGATGCAGCAGTGCTTGGTGTGCTGGATGAGGCAAGAGATGCAGTGGCGGTGGCAGCCGTCCCCAATTTGGCGGCCAGTGGCTCGCTGTAAAAGAGATCAGTCTCGAGCATGGCTTCAGTCTGCAGGTCGGTGGCCAGCACGAGAATGCGGCTGGGGCGTTGGGTCACGACGAGCGGGCCGGGAATCCGGGCCAACGCGGCAGGGGCCAGCTGAAGGCGAGTTGAGGCCGGGAAGCGGCCCAGGTGCGCATAGATGAGGCGCATGGTCGACGTTCCGTTCTCAAGGGCAGCGGTCAATGAGGGCAGGGGCACAAGCGTGTATGCAGAAGGCTGGCGAGCGGGTCTGAGCACCAAGACATCCTCGGTGGCGATGTCCCGGGCTTTGTTCTCATCGAGCCACTGGATATCTAGGCGGCGGGAGGAGAGGTGTGGCGTGCTGGTGCGGGCGAGGAGCAGGGCGAATCGGCGCACGAGACCCGCCCAAGCTCGCCGGTATACGGTCTGAGCCTCGAATGCCCAGAGAGCCCCACCGTCGAGGTTTTGGTAGGCGTCCAAAGCTTCCAGCAGCCGTTGCCAGTCGCCGGGGAGCAGCTTGTCCAGGAAGACCGCTTCGCGCAGGGTCAGCTCCAGCGTCATGCTGAGAAAATTGGCACTCTGGCCTGTGAGAAGGGCGGGAGGATTTTGAACAAAGGCTTCCAAGACGCGAAGCCAGCGCGAGACATTGACGGCGGGCCAGGTATCGAGGCGCATGGCATCGGCCAGCAGATCTGCGGCATTGGTGGCTTGGCAGGCCTCGAGGGGGGCAGACCAAGTTCCGTCAGTTCCGTCCGAGCTGGGCAGGCAGGCCACGGCGACATGGCCGTACGGTTTGGAGGCGGGGCAGGCCAGGTGCACTTCATGCCCGCAGCGAGTGCGGCGTAGTGCGCCCGCATCCAGGCTGTGAGCTGCGCAGAAGCACGCGTCTTGGCGCAGGCTGCGTTGCGCCTTTGTACTGGTCAGCCAGGGTGACGGGCTGGTGACCCATGGCAGGCACTCGCATCGGGTACAGTCTGGACGTGTTTCGTCCGGAAAGTAGTGCGGGGTAAAGGTGGGTGCACAAAGACAGGGTGTATCGGCAGGACAAGACAAAGAGCTGTTGAGGGCTGCCGCCAGCTTGGGGTGTGTTTCGCAACTGCAGCTGGTACAGGTGCCCTCGGCGTTCAGACTGTGCACGACAACCTCATCGGCTGCTGGACAGGTGCAGGGTTCACCACGAAAACAGGCAGCGCGCGGTATCGCATTGACATCTGCGGTTTGGACTTGGGTCAAGCCGGGCGGCAGGCCAAGCAGCAGGACACCGCCCAGGACAAGGGTATGGATTATGGCTCGTCGCATTTTCCTCGGGGTGATTGGCGTGGCCGACATACGTGTCGGCGGGAATTAAGGCTGGTAACAGAACGAGAGGGCGAGGGAATGGACACCACAAGCCCCTTCGGCTTGAGGGTCGGGGGTTCACGGGCACAGAGCTGATCGAGGAGAGGGATTGACGGTGCCGTGATCTCTGGACACCGGCACATCAACGAGACACACGGTGGGAAATGGGCTTGGCCATCGCCATCGGCAGTGTGAGTGTGGCGCTTGCTTCCTGCAAGCCCATCCAAGATGCCACAGCGATGGGAATGTGTCATGGCTTTCGATCCGAGTGCCATGTGCATTCTTATGCACCGTACATTCACGTCTTCGTTTGTGTGGAACCGGTGTGTGTGTGTGTGTGTGTGTGGGGGGCGGGCGACAGGGTCAGAATGGCAAATGGCGGGCATTCCGGTTTGTGTCCGCAGCTCATGACATGGATTGCCTCATCAGCATCAACACTAATATGTCAAATACCCCTCGGAAAGAGAACAGGTCGACGGGCTCTTTCTGTTCCAGTGTATAAAGTGACCCCATCTTCTCTTTGCAAGAAGAGTGACATCTCCAGAGTGCTACCAACTGTCTCTGCTCTATCGCTACCAAATGCCACACAAGCTCAAGCTTCTGCCCTATGTCTTTGTCTATGCCACATGTACCTGTGCTTTTTGACTCTTTGCCCCTCTCTTTCTCGGTCTTGCTGACTTTGATGTGTCTCTTCGGGCTGAGCCTGGTAGTCCCTTTGTCTCTGTGTCTCTGCCCCAATCCTTCATTTTCTCTGCTTTTCCTTGTCTTCTTCCTCTTGCTCTGCACCACCGCTCCCCCTCTCCTCTTCCACTCTTCCTCACATACTCTCCATCTCTGCCCGTCTTCGCTTTGCCTTACCAGTCTCTCGGTCTCTGTCCCTGTTCCTTTCGTGTCTCTGAGCCAGTTTGCACTTTTCTCCTTCCCCATCTCCCCCCCGTGCGCCTTGATCTTCCGACCCCACCACCGGTCATCATGATGGCTCGTCGTAGCTTGTTGGTACGTTGCTCAGCGCAGCACGCTTCGGCTTGGGAGCTGGCTGGGACGCAGAGGTAGAGGCAGTGGAGGACAATGGGGGTGCACAGGAGATGGGCAGAGGGGCAGGCAGAGGTTTGGTTGGTTAGTTCAATACACGTGTCGCGGAACGCAGGATGTGTGCAGGTGCCCCTTTTTGTGAGTCCTTTCCCGCCAGCTTGCTGGCGCTCGCCGCGCTGCCTCACCGTGTCTGTGATGTTTGCCTTTGCACTGTACAACTATACCTATCACTCAGACCCAGGCCAAGCGCTACCTGAGCGTGACGCCCCGTGCCCACATGGAGGTACGCTCGTCTCTCTCTCTCTCTCCCTTTTTTTTTTTTTTTTTTTTTTTTTTTTTGCGCGCGCGCCCTGCCAACTCCGTTTTTGCCGCCCAAGCTAGCCTTGCGGCTGCAAATGCTGGGGGCAAGGGGCCTGTACCTCGGAATCTGCGGTCGCGTTCTACCCTGCCTCATCTCATCCTTATTTGGTCATGCATCCCGTGCCTCACACCCCACCCCCAGGTCACCAAGGTAACCATGATCCCTGGTGATGGTATTGGCCCCGAGATCTCGGCTGCCGTGAAGCAAATTTTCGCCGCTGCCAAGGTATGGGCCAATTTGCATCTCCACCTGACATACATCAGTACGGGTGTTGCGCGCGCTGCAAGTGTCGCGAAACTCAGGCCATCACGCTAGCCTCACTCTTCGTGTTCACATATCCTTGCTGTTCTGGTTTACCGCTCATGCCTCGTATTGGACGTAGGCGCCCATTGAATGGGAGGACGTTGACGTGACGCCCACCTTTGACAAGTACGGTCGTTCCACCATCCCCGAGGCGGCCAAGGAGAGCATCAACTCGACCAAGATTGCCCTCAAGGGTCCCTTGGGCACCCCCATCGGCAAAGGTCACCCCTCGCTCAATCTGACGCTGCGCAAGACCTTTGACCTTTTTGCCAACGTGCGCCCCTGCCGCTCGATCGTGGGTTACAAGACCCCTTACGACAACGTCGACACTGTTCTGATCCGTGAAAACACCGAGGGCGAATACTGCGGTGTTGAGCACGAGGTGGTGCCCGGCGTTGTGCAGTCCATCAAGCTCATCACCCGCGATGCCTCCATGCGCGTGGCCAATTACGCCTTTGAGATGGCCCGCTCCACCGGCCGCAAGCGCGTCACCGCGGTTCACAAGGCCAACATCATGAAGATGTCTGATGGCCTCTTCCTTGAGTGCTGCCAAGAGGTTGCTAGCCGCTACCCCGACATTGAGTTTGAGGAGCAGCTCCTGGACAAGACCTGCCTCTTGGTGCGTTGCAACCACTCGCTCTGCCTCTGTAGAACTTTGAACCTGCTGCACGCCGATCTAGTTGTGTCTTGCCCTGTCAAGCATCCAGTCTAGGGAGCAAATGTCTCATCCTCTCGGCTTGTCTTTGGTATGTCACAGATTACCGAGGACCCGACCCAGTTTGACGTTTTGGTGATGCCCAACCTCTACGGTGACATTCTTTCAGACTTGAGCGCCGGCCTCATCGGTGGTCTGGGCTTGACTCCCAGCGGTAACATCGGTGCCGGTGGTATTGCCATGTTTGAGGCCGTTCACGGCACCGCTCCCGATATCGCGGGCCAGGACAAGGCCAACCCCACCGCCCTTGTCCTCAGCTCCGTAATGATGCTCCGACACATGAACCTGGGCGACTTTGCTGACCGTATCGAGTCGGCCATCCTTGCTACCATCGCCGAAGGCAAGACCCTGACGGGTGACCTTGGCGGCAAGTCTCGTTGCAGCGAGTTCACCAAGGCTGTCTGCGAGCGTCTTTAAGCGTCCACAACGCGCCCCACCATCTACGCATAACCCAGCGCGTCCCTCCCCGATTCCTGCCGAGCCTTGATACTTTTGATGGATATAGGGTGACCTGACCCCAAGTCGTTTCTCCACCTTGCATTTCCCGTCGCTATCACTCTTGTTTTGCCTTCTTCTTCTCTTTTTTTTTTGCTTTTTTTTTCTTTCAACACATTCTTGTTACCAACGTTTTCTTATCTCGCTTCCGACTGGTGAGTTTGCAACACAAGCGGTTGCACGCCCTCAGTGCTGCCACGCAGTGGTGTTGGAGCAGACTGCCGACGCCTCTCCAATTGATTTGAGTTTAGGTGCTTGCTGTGTTGTGCGCCCATACCAGTGCCTGGAATGAAGATGCTTGGCGTCATCTGATGTGGTTCAGTTTTCCAAATCGCTTTGGTCAGATGTTGAAGCAAAGCAGCACGATACACACGAGCCTGACTCAGAGCTTGCCAGCCTCGTGAGCTTCCTTGACGTTCTTGCTGAGCGCCACAAAGAGGCGCTGCACATCCGGTTGCCGGGCTTGCGAGGCCTCCAGCACTTCAGCATGGTTGGGCTCGTTGTCGTCGTCAATCTTTAAAACCACCTGAAGGGGACCAATTGGGCATGTCATGATGAGTGCGCCCTCGAAACTCGAAACAGAGTAAAAAAGAACAGAGAAGCAAGGGCTGGGATAGAGTTTTCCTTGCATGAGATGGACTGCAAGCCTTTTTCGGCGCAGCGCGTGCTTTGAAACAAACCTTGTTGGTGATCAGACTCATAGCCAAGCACTAATGAGACGAGGCAAACAAGTCAAAACACCAACGCACTAATAAGCATCTATGCACGCCGGAAGATGAGAGCGGACCCGCAGCGTGCCTGACCTTGACGCCCTGCTGGATAGCCACGATGACTTCCGGGACCGTGCTCATACCCACGGCATCGGCACCTAGCAAAATGGACCAGTAGAGCATTAAGCGTACTCGAGTAGTCAGGGCAGAGAGGCAGGCAGATTGAAGCGAGCGTATTCGTGTTCATGGGCTTGCAGGGTGCTTTTGGTTCAGTCGCTCTTCTTTGCCCCAGAGACAACGGAGGCCGTACCGGCAGACTTGATGAAGCGCGCTTCGGCCGGTGACTCGTAGGTTGGGCCACCCACCATGGCGTAGACGCCCGTGCGGAAGGCTGACATGAGCTTTTGCTCTACATGGAAAGCAAGCCATCGATGCAGGCGTTGGAGGTGGCATCCAGATCGGTCGGCTGGCACGGGAATGGAGACCAGCCATCGACATACCATCAATGGTTTGCTTGAAAATATCGCGCAGCTTGCGGTCGTAGGGCTTGGACATGGGTACAAAGCGGGCGCCGTAGCGGTCGTCTATCGGTAGCAGGTAGGGTCGGTATCGGTGTTACAAGGGGATTGAAACCAAGGGGGCGCTACGTGCTCTGGTGCTGCCACCTTGCGTACCGTGGGGACCCACGAGTGGGTTTTGCACCGCAAAGCCGGGAAAGTTGAGGTGGTCCTGAAGATATGGGCGTTCGTCAGGAACATTTGTCAGAGCCAAGCCAACGGTTGGGGGCAGGATCGGGGGGCGGGGGGGGGGGGGGGTG